ATGATGAAAGACCCAATCTAACCTTTCCTCGAATGTGATATTTATTGAAATGAAACTTCCCGTTTCCGTTACTTACTAGCTTTGTTAGGCCATTTGTTAATAATGATTAAGGTTTTGTAGAACTAGGTTGTCGCTCTTGTCATCTCGTTTAATTTTAATAACCAGGGAAGAGCATCCAACCTAGAGACTATCAGGTACTCGTAACTTTTACCAGATACTAAGAAAAAGCAATTAAAACTTACAAAAAGAAAATAATTTCTGATTGTTTAGGGGAAACTAACTGCTTTTACACTGTGAAAGCAAACGTCTTCCCTGGAGAAGGTGTACTTTATTCGTCTGTCATCAGTCACTGTTAATTAATTCATTGAACACAAGCAGCCCGGGTCAGGTGGCACTTCAGGAATGTGGCAAGAAGTGTACTGCATTTGCCTTGCGCAGCACGCTCTTCTGAGACCTGTCTGTATGGGGTCGGTTGACACACCATCTGTAGAGCCTAAGGGGCCCCTGAGTGTACGTCACTAGGGGAGGGACAGTGTGGAAACACAGGGTGAGAATGGCCATGCAACTTGAATAGGACCACTGGCGCTGAATTGTACATGTGGAGATTAATGAACGAGTGTAGGTTGTGCTGTGTATCTGTTTTCAACAGCAATAACAAAAAATTAACTATCAAAGGCAGGGGGTAGTGCACTGAAAGGAAGCAGGGCAGGCGAAGCTATGGGAGGAAGCGAAAGGGGGAGCTGTAGTTGGGGAGATTAGGCCTTATATTTTTGAGGAAGCCATCTATTTTTATGAGAGTACTTATATAGAAAAGAACACCTCCCGTATGAATACAGCTCATTAGGTTTTCACAAACTGACTCCCAAAAAAAGCAGCCTCCTGGACTAAAAGTTAGCAGCTTTCTGAATGTTCTGGTTTTGGTATAGGCGCTGCCAAAGCTATGTCAATGTCGTAATGATAGCTTGCTGCTCGTTGCCATCAAGTTAATTTCGTCGGCCGGCCCCATGTGTTAAAGGGTAGAACTGAGCACAGTAGAGTTCTAGGCTTTGGGGTTTGTGGAAGTCAGCCTTCCAGGGTACCCCAAGGTGGGTTCAAACCCTCAGCATTAGGTTTGCAGTCAGACACAAACCTTTTGCACCATGTGGGGGCCTAGAATGTTAGCTCCAATTGTTGTTGGTTGCTGTCAAGTGAGTTTTTACCCAGCAACCCCTGGTGGCTCATGGAGCCACCCATGCCTCTGTCTAGGCTGTGATCTTTATGGAAGTAGGTCTCCAGGTCGTTCTTCTGTGGAGCTGGGGGTGGGGGGCGGTGTTCTAGCAGCCAAGCACTTCCCCTTTGTACCACCACGGCGTCTTCATGGCAGCCCTGTGGTGGTGTACCATCAAATCAATTCTAAGCGACCCTATAGGCGAGAGTATAATGACCCGTGAGGACTCTGCTTTAATCTGTAACCTCTGCTGGAACAGATCCCCTGGCTCGCCCGTGCATCCGCTGGTGACTTGGGATCGCTGACCTTTGGTTGGCAACCAAGCACTTAACCTGCGGACCACCGGGGCTCGTCCATGAGAGCCTAAGCAAGAGGAAGAAAAAATCCTCTCCCAGCAAGTTGATTCCGACTTACAGCAGCCCGAAAGAGAACTGCCCCCTAGGGATTCCAAGAGTGTGAATCTTTACAGGAATAAAGAGCCTCAACCTTCTTCTCCCCAGAAGCGACAGGTGGGTTTGCACTGCTGACTTAGCAGCTCTGTGTTTATCTTCCAGCACTTGCTACTCCGTGTAAGTCATTCTGTTAGTAATTCTCCTTGGATAGACTCCATTCTCCATACTTTTCAGACCTGAAAAGAGCAGAAAGGCTTTAGCATAAATTGTGATGTAGACGTTGTCTGTGTTGGCCCTTTGTGGAGCACTTTGTGTGGACAGGATCTCGTGTCATGTTGGTGCCATCCCTGAGAGAGGCGGGTTATGATCATGTGGGAAACAGAACAGTTATTTCCCAGGTTGTGCCAAACCCAAGGTGTTGTTTGCAAGTCTGACTGTACACTTGGAGGTCAACTGCTTAAAGGTTATCTGCCTGAAGGTTGTCAGCCATCGAAGGCATTCAGGCCCTATTATCTGTCCCACCCAAGGGTAATGGGTTGTCCCCTGAAGGAGACAAGCCAACTCAGGGACGACCACGGTTAGGCTGTCATTTTGACACTAAAGCGGTGGTTCTCAACCTGTGGGTCACGACCCCTTTGGGGGGTCGAATGACCCTTTCATAGGGTCACCCAATTCATAACAGTAGCAAACTGACAGTGATGAAGTAGCAACAAAAATAATTTTATGGTTGGGGGTCACCACAACGTGAGGAACTGTATTAAAGTGTTGCGGCATTAGCAAGGGTGAGAACCACTGCTCTAGGGCCTGCGTGTATGCCTTCCTGTCACGCATATGTCTGTTGTACAACCCCTTCCTGTTAGGTCTGTAGCTACCTGTAATTAAGGGGACTGCCACACCCCTAGAGTGTATGTAATAAACCTGTTGGAAACATATTCTCTCTCTCTCTCTCTGCGCAGATCTGGCTCCTGAAGTCATGACTGTCCAGAGGCAAACACTTGCATGCTGTCTGTCTCTTGTCTGATGTCTCTTTAATTTTGCCCCTCAATTACACGACCGCCCCATGGACCCATTCGATTGTGGGGGCTGGTACCCCACATGATCAGATGTGGGTTAACGATACAGACGTTAACACCCAGAAAAGTAACCTGCCCACCAACAGTCAGCAAAGTGTGTGTGTGTGTGTGTGTGTTTTCCCTGTTCCCATTTCTCTCTTTTTGTTTTTTAACGTAATTTGGGTGAAGTGTACCGGGCAAGTTGGTTTCCTATTGAACAATTAATATACACACTGATTGCAATCCCCACAGTGGACCTGCGCTTTCCCTCTTCCTGTTGGCATTGGTATTCTTCCCTGTCCCTTCCTGCCTCTGAGCTGTACACTGGACAGATGCTGTTCTGGGGAGCTCGTGGGGTTGGTTGTTCTAAGATGTGCCTACCTCCCAGTGTCACTGTTCGCCTTAGTAAATTGTCAAGTGATGGATCCACTATGGAAGCCCAGGCCATTTGACCCCACAGCCTGCATCACTGGGTGGTGAGTTATCACAGAGTAAATCACACAGCTAACCTGAGGAGGAACGAAGACTGCGAGCCAACAAGTCTTGTTGGATAATGTCATTCCCAAAGGCTGCATTGAGAGAGGACGGGAGACAGAGACCGAGCTGGAATTGGGGAGAGTCTATGTACGAAGTCCTTGGAGGCATGAATATGCTCGGTGAACAAGAGCCTTGACCCCTTTCCAATGGAGTCCTAATAACTACCCTCTAGGAGCTCCGGATTCAGCGCAGCACGGCACGCAGGCGCACCTCTGTCTGTGCCAACAAGCGAGGCCTGGTGCAGAAGAGCAGGGCGGGGCTCCAGTGTAGCTGAGTCTTCTTTGAATGGGTGAATCAGGCTAAGAGGGGGTGGCTGGGAAGGGCTCCCAGAACTCAACCACCCTAGCCCCCTGTTCTTCCTACAGGAAGCCACCAGGCAGGTGATAAAAGGTCACCCTGAGTGACTGGCCTGCTGACCGCTACATCTCCCAGTCTCAAATTCATCATCTTCCTCTTGAAGTTCTTCAGAAATCCTTACCTCCGCGTGTGTCTGTTCCCTGTGTTTTCTAGTACCTGCGTAACCCCTGTGAGTCTGTTCTGGCTCCCAGGTACTCGGTGTGCAGCAGGAGGAATCCCAGCCAGGCCTGTGCCATCCTCAGCACTACCGCTGTGTTTGAACCCATGGTTGCCGTCACTAGCTCAGTTCATTGCTCTGAGGCTCCTTCTCTTTTCTACTGGCCACTCCTGTTTCACCAAGCGTGCTGTCTTTCTCCAGGGACTGACCCTTCCTCAGAGCGTTTCCAAAGTACGTGAGGCAGCGTTTTCGCCCTCTCCTCTTCCAGGGAGCATTCCGGCTGTCCTGCTTCCAAGGCGGGTTTGTTCGTGCTTCAGGCCACCTGTGATCCATTCACAAGCCCCCACCAGCACCACCGTCCAAATGAGCCCATTCTTCGTTGGTCTGCCTTATGCATTCTCCTGCTTTCCCCTGGGGTGGGGTGACCCAGAAACAGGCTGCGCTGTCAGCACGGTGGGATTGCCTCTCAAAATAAAAAGACTCTTTATTTGACAATCCCCCCCCCTAGGGTGCCAATGCAACGGTGCCTTTGGGAGACCCAAACAGACATGAGGGGCCGGCCAAATGGCCGACTGTTTCCCGGAACCCCGATAGGAGTCTGCTTATGGCAGCTTCTGGGTGGCAGGTGGAGGATTACCACTGAGTCCCGCCCTCCCTTCTGGGTGGTAAAGACACCCAGTGCCCATTTCCCTGTCCCCTGGCTATTGGTGGGCTGTGCCTCCCCCCTTCCCGTGGACTCCTTTTCTGCCAGGAGAGTTGTATGTGCTGGGGAAGTGTCTTCAAGCAGCATCTTTGCCTGTCTTAGGTGCTATAGCTTTGAATTGGAGATGTGTGCTGGTTTGGTGACTCCGTTTTGGTATTTAAGGATTGATGGCACTGAGCTTTCTCTGTCAAAAACAGGTTAACTCCCCGACATTTCTGTCCAGTGACACGTAGTGTTTTTTTCCTCCCAACAAGAGCTGTGTTGGGAGGTGTTCCTTAACCTGGTTTTCTTCCGGCACCTTTGGAGAGAGTCGGCTGCCATCTGTGGTGCTGGCCCTCTAAGCTGCGAGCACACGGGCCAGGATGGAGCCGTGTCCATCAAAACACGGTCACTGTTGATGTGCATGATCAATCACTGCAACAACTGGGGAGATGAAACCCTATGAGGTAATAAGGCCCAGCTTCGTGACATCCTGTATCTAGAGAGCAGACCTGTGGCGATGTGGCTAAGGGGAGCCCCGTGTTGAGCCCACTTCTGGTCGTGCTAAGGTTGAAGACGCACCGACTGGTGTCTAATGGGACTTTTCTTTCCATAGGCCACTTGTGAAGAGCTGAAATCTGCCTACCGGAGACTGTGTATGCTGTACCACCCCGACAAACACAGAGACCCGGAGCTGAAGTTACAAGCAGAACGCCTATTTAACCTTGTTCATCAGGCTTATGAAGGTCAGTGCAGGGCTGGACTGCGTAGAAGCACCCTACAAGCAGATACTCAATTTCTCAGAGCCCTGATTTATAGCATGCAGGAAGTGCCTGGATTATAAATTAGTTCCATCCCTAAGTTTGTCTTTAAATCAAATTTGTATGTAAGTTGGAACAGATAGGTACAATTGATATCTACTGTTAGATACGTATTTGTAGTATTAGTTTATAGTATATTATATACCTTGTATGCATTAGAGGAACGTTAAAGATGTACTTCCAGACCTATTAGAACATCTTTAACCTAATAATACAGAACTAATAATAATGGTTCTGTGTGCACTGCAAAGTACCAAACTGTGCGTTATTACAGACCATTATGTTTACCTCAAATTTCTAATAGAGCGGGCTTCACCAGGTTGGTTGGTTTGTAACAAAGGGCTACACACAAGTTGGATGTTCATAAAACCCAGGGACCATGTGAAGACAAGAGAGAATCCTCAGAGATAAATAAAGAAGGTGGTTTGTGTGTGCTACTGACAGGGTCCTCTGAGAGAGTAGGGAGATCAACATGTGTCCAGTAGATGTGAAGGCATATTCTGTATTTCACTTTATACCGAAAAGTGAGATGTTCATGACAAGCAAAATCAAGCTGGGGTAGAGGGTGTGGGGACCACCCTTCCATGACCTCATTTCACTCTGGTCAGAGGGACAGCCACTTGCAGGGGGGTCTTGACCAGAAGCCCGCTTCTTTGGTCACATGCTGTTGTCTTGAGTGGCCGGGTGAACTTCACTGCCATCTCGGAATTATCCGCACAGCTTGTTAGTGTGGGTTTGGAGATTTGGGGAAGAGTTAAGAGAAAAAGGCCGCCGGTGATTGTGGAAGTGCTGCGGCAGCAAACTGGCCTCCAGTGTGGGCCTGGAGGGAGACGAGAGTGAAGCAGTGAATAAATAACTCCTTATGAAATCCTAGAGATTAACGGAAGAAGTTTGGCTCCCATGATTTCCAGCGGTCAGCATTTCTTTCTTCCCCATTAGATTTGAATATGGATAGAATCATTTATATCACTTTTTAATTAGGCCTAAAAATATATGGGAAGTCTCATGGGGGGCGGGGTAGATGAAAAGGTCTTGAGCAGAAATTGGCAGAGTAGGGAGCGGGATAACTACCGTGAACTTCACTAACATTGACTTGGCTACCCTTTGAATAGCCCGTGCCCTTATTGAGAGCTCCTTCTGAGGCACTGCAGGCAACGTGGTCAGCACCGTGGTGACAGGCGTTGTGTGTCATAGTTAAAATGACTTATAGGTGAAGGAGAGGCTTCGTTGCTCTTGCCGACCTCTCCGCGCCTCTCCGACCCCCGCGTCACGTGCGCCGCTCTGCTCGCTGCGGCCGCCGCGGGCTCCGTGTACGCCTTCTCCGCGCGCCCGCTGGCCGGCGGGGAGCTCATGAGCCTGGCCTCGCTGCAGGGCAAGGTGCTGCTCATCGAGAACGTGGCGTCGCTCTGAGGCACCACGGTCCGGGACTACACCCAGATGAACGACCTGCAGCGGCGCCTCGGCCCCCGGGGCCTGGTCGTGCTAGGTTTCCCGTGCAACCAGTTTGGGCATCAGGAGAACAGCAAGAACGAAGAGATTCTGAATTCCCTCAAGCACGTCCGACCTGGCGGCGGGTTCGAGCCCAACTTCTGCCTGTTTGAGAAGTGCGAGGTGAACGGCGCCAATGCACACCCGCTCTTTGCCTTCCTCCGGGAGGCCTTGCCTGCGGCCAGCGACGATGCCACCTCCCTCATGACCGACCCCAAGCTTATCACCTGGTCGACATCTCTTGGAACTTCGAGAAGTTCCTGGTGGGCCGCGATGGTGTGTGCCTGTGCGCAGGTACAGCCGCCGCTTCCCCACCATCGACATCGAGCCCGACATCCAGGTCCTGCTCTCCAAGGGGCCCGGCCGGGCCTAGGGCGCACCGCCTTCCCCCAGGCTGCCTGGCGGTCACTACGCGGCCTGCCTTGCGTGGGGACTTCATCAATGAGGGTGTTTCTTCTAAACCCGAATGGAGGAACACCCGATGTCCGGGAAAGCCCCCCGCAGGCCGGCACTAGCCCTGCCTGCCCCAGCCTCCCCTCCCAGACCAAATAAAATTGTTCCGCTTGTAAGGAAAAAAAAAAAAAAGTGAAGGAGAGAGGTGCAGTACGGGGTAGACTCCCGTGTTAGACACCAACGACTCAACTCCCGGAGAGCCCGGGTATATGGAGTTGAGCTGTGCGGAGGGGCTTCAGGGCTTTGGGACCTTTTCAGAATTTCGGAAGCTGGTCGACAGGCCTGTCACTGCGGCACCTCTGGGTGGGTTTACTTGCCAGCCTCAGAGCTAATTGTCCAGCGCTTAGCCGTTTGCATTGACCGGGGCTCAAGACTTTCTTAGGAGCTCATAAATAAGAAGAGATTACAAATAAGGTAATAAAATAGCATATCAGGTTTTTCCAGTTTCAGAATCTGTCCCTAGTTTTACATTAAACTTCTTTAGAAATTGCGACGAACTCTTTTAAGCCAATGGGCACTTTATATACTGTGGCAGAAATTGACTCCTTTTAAGAGGATTTACTTTTAAAAAGAGCATCAGTACAGGTGCCTTACAGTGAAAAATGACGTGGACACTGAGACACAAGTCTAGTTCTTCTCATTTGTACCCACGTTTCCATGGGGCGTGGCTCGGACCAGAAAAGCAGTTAGAAGGAAAGCAGTGTATGAAAATGAAGAGGGTCTTCGGAAGAACTGGAAAGCATGAGAAAGGTGGGCTGACCTGTGAGCGATGTTGTCAGCTCTCAGGTAGGCCTGGACGCTGAACTTTGTAACCATGTTTGGTTTTTTATTTGCAGTGCTCAGTGACCCCCAAACCAGGGCCATCTATGACATCTATGGGAAGAGAGGACTGGAAATGGAAGGATGGGAGGTAAGCAACGGCGCATCTGGTATCCCAGAAAGCTTCGAACAAGACAGAACCATTCCCACACCCACAGCTGTGGTCGCGTCTTTGAGAGCCGGCCCTTTTCTTGCCTTGTATTTGGTCGTAAGAGGTTGCATTCTAGGCTTGACTTTGCCCTTTTCTAACTCGCTAAACTTGACCATCTGCCATGTTAACTGGTCCTCAGTTTCCTGACCTGTCAAGTAAAAAGGAAGAGGGGTGGGCTATACCTACTAGTAATTTTTAGCCAAGGGCTGGGCCTGGGGTGGGAGCAGGCAGAGCGGGGTGGGGCTGGGGGTGGGAGTGGATAGTAGAGTGTCTGCACAGGCGCCATCCTCTGCCTACATCCCTCCCTTCCACCCGCCACACTTCTGGGCCTCTCTCTCCCTCGTAGGTTCTAAATAATTGCATTTAGAAAACGGTTCTCTCGGGACAGTGTGGTGCAGGTCAACAAAATGGCAGCGGGAAAACCTGCTGGGTTACATGCTCCATAATCCCCCTTCCAACTGCGTACTGTGGTGGTGGTCACTGCCCTGGGGTCAGCTCTGATTTGTGATGGCCGGATCCTGTGGCTCCCCAGGATGAGTCGTGAAGCTGCACCAGCCCATCAGACTGTTGGGATATTAGAACACAGCAAATCGTGTCTAATATGATAAGTTAAAACAGACAACAACTCTGTCACATAGAGTACCCTGGGCAGCCGTGCTCTGTGGGAGCAATAGGCTAAAATTTGGAAGACTCCTTTTTTCTGTCACTTTGCCACTGACTAGATGTAAGCCCTTGGGCAAGTCACTTGGCTGCTTTGTACTTTCATTTTATTATCTGAAAAGGGAGGATGTACAGAGCAAGTGAAAAAACAAATGCAAAAATGGGTCGTAAAACTCTGAATTTCTGTTGGAATGTGTAGAGATGTTAATATTCAGTTGGTTCTAATGACTAAGAAATTTTGGTAGACTTAATGTTGACATTGAGCATAATCATGTTAAGATTTCCCTTAAAGTTCTATTTCGTTTTTGATCCTCAAGCATGTATGCCCATCTACTAATTCCAATATGCAAGCCTCATGAATGCCTTTAGGTAGGTAGCGGAAGAGGAACTACCGTATATACTCGAGTATAAGCTGACCTGAATATCAGCCAAGGCACCTAATTTTACTACAAAAATTGCATTAAAATGTGCTGGGGAAACTCGGCTTATACTCGAGTATATATGGTAAATGGATTCCATTCCCTTTCCCACGACTGCTTAATATTGGTGGCTCGTGGACCATATGGAACCTATGGCCATGTTTAAATTACCCCACATGATGAATTTCCTTTTCAAAGTTGGGAGATTGTGCATGAAATCCAGCCTTCGGTCAGGAGTCAGCACTCAACTCTATCTACGGAGCCACTGCCCTTCCGACAAGGCTGTGCCGTTTGTCCGGGTCCCCACCACTCCCTAGTGCCACTCAGCACTTCGCTCATTGACGTGCCCTGTCTGGAGCTAGCAAGCATTTGGTTGTGTGGCCTCTGGCGTGATGAAATGCGCAGTGCCTCCTGTCACGTTCATTCAGTGTAGCAAAGTGGTACGGTTAATAGCTTAGCAGTTTCTCCTCCAAAAAGGAAAGCAGAATTGTGCTTTGTTTCCGCTTCTCCTGGTGTTTTACCTGCCACCGTAAAGCTGCATTGTTTGTGCTTCGTTGTGGACGGCAGCAGACTGGTCACTGACAGCTGAGGCCCTGTGTGTGTGGTCTGGCGCTGCTGTCACAGGGTTCACAAACGACGTGCCTCATTACCACAGCCAACTGACAGACAGCTCCAGAGGCCAGCGTCCAACATCCAGGGGTTGCAGGAGCCACGTTCTCCTTGCTGGCCTCTGCAGCTTCGGGTGGCTCAGGCAGTCCTTGGTTGGTGGCAGCATCCCATCACTCCCACCTCTGCCTCCACCTTCAGGTGGCCATTTCCCCCTCTGCACCTGTCTCTCTCTCTTCATAAGGACACTAGTCCTGTTAGAGCCCTCCAGACTCCATTAGGCCTTGTGCCAATTCAAATAATTACATCTGCACAAGCCCTGTTTCCAAAGGTCACATTCACGGTGTTAACAGGGCTTCAGCGTTATGTTTCAGGAGCCACATTTGAATCTATACCACCTATTGCTCCCCTGAAAGTCTGGCATCCTAACGCCCAGCAGCATGTTCCCAACTCAGAATCTTCCTAGCAAGGTCGTTCTCAAGTTCCTGCTGCCGAACCGAAGTCACACACACACACTGCCCCCGACGGGCATGGGTGGTGAGTCTGAAACCGTAGGAAGTCGTAGATGAGGAGGGCATCTTTGGTTACACTTTCACCTTCTTGTTTTTTAGTAAACTGCTTCCAGGAAGTCGGGTTCTCGTCCATCAGAACGGGCTTGTTTTTTCTTTCATTCGTGTGTGTGTGTGTGTGTGTGTGTGTGTGTGTGTGTGTGTGTGTGTTTTAATCTTGATGCTAAGCCTTCACTGCAAGATTAAGATGCCTTCAGTGAAGACTACTTGGAGATACCTCCCCAGACATTTACTCCGAGGTGGATCAGTGTCTTAGCATACCATAGGAAAATTGAACCCATCATTTACACTATAAAGGAAAAGTCTTCCTGAACTCCAGCTCATTTTATGGATCTGGCTTCCCCATCCCTTCGAGGGAATCCTGGAGCTGGATGGATTGTTTAATATGAGCCTTCTCCCACGTCTGTAATCGCTAACACTCCAGGGGGGGGGGAGCTGTATTCCCTTCCTGCTGTTGCCAGTATTTTTAGTCTATTAAACTTTTCCAGTTGCTGAAAGGTGTATCTGTTCACTGCATATTTGTTACAGGAAGCATCTGGGTCATCAGTGAAGGGTGAAGGACATTGTTAGGACCAGTGGTGTCACCCAGCGTGGTAACTCATGGTGTTGTCACTCCCTACCCCATGAGCCACCTCCCGTACCTGACGATAAAGAAGCCATAGTCATGTCAGGTATCCATTTTAATCGAAGAATCATGCAAGGGAGCCTTCAGAAAGTTCCTAGAAAAGTAAAATTGAAAGATAATTGGGTTTTTCCATGAATTTTTGAAACCCCCTCTATCATATAGTTGCGTAAATTGCTTAAATGTATTATTTTTTGGAGTATATGAAGACTAACGAAATGATTGTCTAAAATCATTCTACATTGAACTACATAATTAGTAACTGAAGGGGAAGCTTTTTAGTTTTTTCCCCTTTAATTACTACTTCATTCTTCAAAAAGTTGCTGTTGTAGGTTCACCAGTACTAATTGCAGTAGTATCCCACACAAAACAGCAGCAACAACAGGAAAAGTAGTAGCACACCTAAAACGCCAGCAGCAGCAAGTGCTTGTAGTGCATGTGGGCAAACCACGGGATTGCAGTGTCCTT